TTCAGAAACTCGAAATTCCCAACACTTTCCATGTAAAATCAACTCTTGGACATAAAAGACGACATCAAGATAACATCGAAACAAAATTTTAGGCACCGGAATCGCGCTCATATGGTACTCCAACTTAGAATTATGCAACTTTTACTGTGCCTAAAACCCTGACAGAATTGCATATTCGGAAACCATCCCTCGAGAATTAACCTTCGGCCCGGACACAGAAGTTATGGATAAAATCAAGGCAGATTTAATGGCAAAAGATCCACCTCAAGACAGTAAGCCGATTTGGAGTTATAAATTTTGGAATACCAGAAATGTCGTTGATCGATAACCCGAAAACCCAGTAACAAAATTATTTGACCATCTCAGGGGCACAATTGGCTCCCGGCCCGAACACGAAAAATGAAGATAATATCCACACAGACCCGATGACCAAATATCAGCTCAAAATAACACTCCAACTTAGAGTTAGAAAATTCTGAAGCTTTCCGCGCTGAAACGGACTTTCAACTTGAACTGTCTCAAATAAGACAAAAACTCTGGCTCACCCCTACCACTCGAGACATGATAGAATACGTTGGAATCGGTCATGATAGAGAATTTTCATTCATCCCCTGAATGTCTTGCATGAAACTCTGAGCATCTCTGATAAACAGTCAAACAAGAATGCCCTGATCCCAGAACAACACGGGTAATGGTATGCATGTATGTATATCATAATGCAATACAAGCCAAAATAAAGTCGAAATGAAGAGGGTAAATTTTGGGGTACAATAGGTGCACCCATTTCTTGGAGTTCGAGAAAGGAACCTGTAGTGGAATTATCATCATGCGAAGTAGAATATATATAGATGCTTCTCTTTGTGCATGTTAAACAACATGGATGGTGAACTTGGTTGAAGAAATAACAAGGAAATATCATGGAGAAATTACCACGAAGATCGTCAGCATGTCAACTATCAATCTGGCGAAGAACCCGATAGCTCACAATCGAAGAAAGCACATCGAAATGAGGTCCACTATCTTTGAGAGCAGGTAGCAGATGGGAAGATGAACTTAGAACACTGCAGAACTGAGAATCAGATTGAAGATATCATGACAAAGGGAGTGCAAGTCGAAGTATTCAGAAGACTAAGAGCTCTGATGAATATAGATAGCTTAGACACAATAAATTACGTGGTGTGTTGAAAGAGTAATTTCTTGTGTCGAAGCATTTTACTCGACAGAGATAAGAGAGTGTCGAAAAGATTTGGTTTAGTGTGGAAACAGTTTGTTACACACAAATTTGTTTAGATCTAGATAAATTTGATTTAGTTCTAAAATAGAATAGATTTGATTTAGTTCCAAAATATGTATTTTGGCTTTTATAGTTTTGGGTTTTGGCTTAGGGAGCAAGCTAACTTAAATCTATTAATAGAGGTAAAAATCCCTTGAAACAACCGGCTGAACAAATCATCAAGATGAAATCAATGAAGTCGCCATCGAACGTTTTTTATCCCACAGGAAGGAAAAGGTAAACATAGAGTAAACTTGAAAAGGGTGAAATCACGATCAAACGACCGAGATATCGGGTAAGAGAGTTTATTACGTGAGGGAAGGTATTAGCATCCCACACACCCGTAATATCCTATGGTATCCATTCTTATTGTTCTAATCAAAGGGCGTGTTTTAAATCTATAGCTTACGAGCTAAAAGAAAATGCAAAGAAGGAATGCACTCAAAAGAAAACACGAGAAAAAGAAGGAAATATTTACAAAGTTTCGCTCGAATGAGCCCCGTGACCAAATGCCTACGTATCCCTTTTAAGGAACTAAAACATCGTAGTCCGGCTCACATGTTTCCGTTTGTTTTGTGTTTTTAATGAACATTATTAATTTCGCCTTCTGTTGCAACTCGACCTTTGGAGACTCACGCGTGAACACAGAATTGAATTAATATATTCTAACTAACAAGGTATTTGCAAAGGAAAATTCCTGAAGGAGGATAATGCTACATTCGTGCTCTATCAATTTAGACATAGTGTAACCTGACCTTTGGAGATTTACGCGTTGTGCTGCGTTAGAGTATAATTAACACATCCTTTTGAAGTTTGAAAGAAAGGCCCGAAGGCGAGAAGAGTTTGCATTGGTTGATGTTTTTTACCTTGAAAAAGGATTTCAAAGTTGTTAGATGTTTTATGCATTTTCCAAGAAAATAGTTTTAGTCTTACTGCAAGGATCCAAAAGAAAGAAAAACATCTAAGGGAAACTAGCAAGAATCTAATCCCTAATGTTATCATACAATGATTGATCCTTATGTTGAGTTTGAAAAGGGGAAATCTCTACCTATGTTAGCATGTATGGATAACTATCCTAATGTCTAGCTCAAAAGCTACCCTAATCGAGCGATCATAAGGGAACATACAATGGTTCAAAGTCTAAAGGAACATGGAATATACAAGGATGAAAAGAAAACAAGCAATCGACAAGCTCAAGAGAGAACACAAGGGAAATCCCTACCTAATTTAACATACATAAAACCTAAGGGCGAAGATAATTATCCTATAGGGAACATGCAAAGATCAAAGTCGTTATCTCAATTATAATTGAGTGACATCATTGATCATTAACAAAGGAAAATGATAAAGTCCTAAGAGAGCATGCAAAGATCGAAGTCGTTTTCTAAATTTTAATTGAGTGACATCATCTAATTTTCAACAAAGGAAAATGAAAATCCTAAGAGGAGCATGCATAGGTCAAAGTTATTTTCTCAATTCTAATTGAGTGACATCATCGATCGCAAACCCATGAAAACCAACACAAACACAATTAGAAAATAATGCCACATAACGCGGAATTGCCCTAAACGGGTCTTTAAATAAACCAGAGGGGGTCCTGACATGATCAGCAACGGGACCCCCGTCATACATCTCTATCCTACTTCTCATGGCAATGAAAGCGATAAAGACTGTGGTTAATGCGCGAAAGGTAAAAGCAACAGTAGCTACCAATCGAACGCAAGTTCGTAAATAAGCTAACGAAAGAAACAGAGAAGCAAGGAATACGTCGAACAAGCTTCACCAAGAAACAAAGAAAGTCAGAAACAATATCCAACTAAGATGAACATGAACGCATGCCATGAATGCGCATTGCATAAGCGGAATTTCCTACATAAGGCATCACAAAGCATATCCAAACAACATATAATACAATGTGAAATAATATGAATTTCTCATGAAGATGAGAAATAAGGCGTGTAGCATCGGAAGTGAGCATAAGCCACATGTTTCGATCACGTGCCAATTTTTATGTTACATGAACGAAAGCGTCACAATGTACCTTGCACAATGAACAAACGCGTCAAAAATACCAGGGCAAACTGTATAGAAACCGTATGAAAATCAATCAGATAATCAATAAATGAAATACAACAAGTAAGCATGTCTCAAATGACAATCATAGTATTGAAATTCTGCACTAGTAAGTGAGAAAAAACTACATTATTGTTGTACAAAAAATTCTGCATTAACGGTATAAGTCACGTTTTCTACAAAATAGGCATCCAAAAAAATATGCTCGGAATGAAACGATATTTTCATGATAACCTATAAACATGCCCATGAATCCAAATCTACAATCGGTTTTGTCAAAAACACAATGGAAACATGACTTCCACGCACTGTCAGTTTGAAATACGGTAAAAAAGTGCTCGGAATCAAACGAAACCCGAGGAGTAGCTTACAAACGGGCCAACGGTTTCATAAAAATAGGTTCCGTAATTTAATTTCAAGCGTAGGTGCTCAGTTTAGGCCATTTTACAGTGCAGGATAGAATTGTGGTAAAGTGGTTTAAACATATGGAATTTTGACCCGAAAGCGTGGAAATCAGTTTCAAACGATATATAAACATGCGGCATGCGAATTCCGAGTGCTAACAATTAGGCTTCGAAGGACTTGGAGTGCAAAATCGAACGAAAAGAGTGAAAACTCATAAATTGTAAAATGTCGATTTAGTTCCAATTTTGTGCATTCTTGTTTTGACAAATGATTTCTAAGGTTGCACAAACTCGAAATTAATCCAACATAATGCTTGCAACAATGTTCTTCAATCAAACACATAGTTGCTACAAGTTTGACAAATTTGGTCTACGACATGAAAAGTGTTTTTTAGTCAGAATCATGTTTCCAACTTGCATTAATTATGTCAACAAGAGTGTATCATTGGGGGCTGCAATGTATGGAAAAAATTTGGTACAAACTTGAATTGAAAAGTGTTAAAATCAAATTTCAATCTTATTCCAACAATGCTAAAACAAGTTGCATTGGTTTATTGTATTTTTTTTATGTTAGAAAAGCACTTTTGTCAACAAATCTAAACAATTTACTCTAGCTCATAGGATTGATATCAAACATTCAACACAACCACAATTTTAGCACAAATCAATACACATAATTAAGGGGTAAATTGGCTTTCATGCCAAAGTACAAGAAATGTAGCAATATGTTTGGAGATTAAACTTGATTCTCATGGTTAAAGTTCAAGAACACAATAGTTTCTAACATTCTAACCAACACCAACTCTAATCTTGTTCAGGGTATAACTTTAAGATTCACAATATAAATCCATTTGCTAACTCATGAATTATGCTCAAAATTGATTCTCAATTCAATTTATGTACCACCAACATTCACTCTACTTAATTCATTAACCAAGTTCAAGGCTCTAATGTCAATTTTCAACAACCATAAACAATACTCCAATTGCTCAATGTTCTTGGATGCAAAAAACGTGTCACCTAAGCATTATGAATAACATCTAACATGCATAAACAACTTTCCTCTAACACCAATATTATCATTCCAATTCTATGCCGCAATCATTTTGATTCCCTAGTCCATGATCAACATCTAAATTGCAATTCAATTTCTTAATCAAAACCTCAATTCAATGTTCAAATCAAGAATTGCTAAAAAATGCTTATTCCAAAATGACTTGTTTAAAAATATAACTTAAATAGGAAATTATTACCGTAGAAACGCAGAGGAGGTTGCGTAGAAGAGATCGCCAAAGTCAGATCGAAGAACGGAGGCCAAATGTGGCCGAAATTCACAAAACGGAGGGAGAGTGAGGGTAGCGCAATCACGGCCTTGTAGGGGATTTTCCGGCGGTTCACGGCTGTTCTGGCAGTGGGGGTCGACTGCTGCATTGTCGGAGGTTCATTGGAGATTGATTACCGGTGACTATGGTGTCCGACAGTGGTTGATCAGAGTAGAAGTGGTGGTTGATGGTGGTTATAGAGAGAGAAGAAAGTGAAATTTTAGTAAAATGAATGGAATTCCCCAATTGTGAGTGGGAAATTTGATTTATAGTAGATGTATTGGGCTCTGAGTGTAATTAAATTGGGCTTTAGAATTTGACAGCTCGACACGAACATAAAACACCACGTCATCAACTGTACAAAATCTCTTCTCGACCCCAACACGAAAAATGAAGATAATAAAATTTGTGACGTGTTGCCGAAAGAACGAGCTAAATTTTATAAACGATGAGAAAGTTAGGAATTTTTGAAGTTTCACTGACACTGTCTTAGATAAAACTAATTTCCTGTTCAGGATTTTCAATGCGTCACATGCGAAACGGACCAAAAACGGAAGCCTTCGGATTACCGTTTGAATTCGGAATCAGAAGAGAAACTGTCATAGATGAAATTTGTGAACCAAGGCCTCTGGGCTTAGCGTGATACGACAACAATCGTGTTAATTACAATTTTTACAATATTAAAAAACGGAATAACAGAAATTCAATTCAACACCATTATTCTTTTAATAACTCAAAATTCCTAGGCCCTTCCTCAAAGAATCAATCTTCAGATGCAATAGACGAAATGTAGGCGGCATCAAGACGGAATTTTGACAAAAATAACAAGTTCAATACAACGAACAGAGAGTGAGTTATGAATTTTTGAACATCCAAAAAATAAGGGTTTAACACAGTATTTTCACCGTTTTTTCATTGTAACACTTCCAGAAGAATCGCATATTCGGAAGCCTTCTTTAAAGAATTAGGTTTCATTCCAAACACGAGAGTTGGAGAAGACATTAAAGCGGTTTTAAAGCCTCCAGAATCACCCCAAAACAGTATTCTAATCAGAAGATACAAATATTTTATTACTCGCGCAATGACGGACCAGCAAAAAAATTCAGTATATTGTCTTCAAAGAATTAAAGTTCTAGGAGATTTTCTTCACACAATTAGCTTTTGATATGAACATGAGAAATGATGAGAGAATCAATATAGTCTCAATGCTCGAAGAATCTATGGAAAATACCAAATCGGATGACAGTTACAGATTTTCAAACACTCAATGCACAAATAACCAGTCATGAAGTCCAAGCACCGCTTTAGAGAAAACAAATTATTTGGAGACTTTCTGCGCATAATTGGCTTCCGACATGAACAAATGAAATAAAGAAAATATCGAGGCGGTTTCGATGCTTGAAATCGACTGAGCTACAGTTTATATAAATATTTCGCGAGGGTACCATTGGAATCGTCTTGATGTGAAGAAGCGAATGGTTTGAGCTTCTAATTTTACAGTTCGTGGAACCTGCAACTTGTGTGTGGCCAGAGGTTGAAGATGACCAGCGTGCCATCTCTCAGCCAATGAGAAGGCGCCACTTGTTTTTTCAAATCTGTTTAAAAAAATAAGTGATTTGGTGGTTTAGTCACTAATGTCCATATCATGCACAACGTGTCTGATCCTTTGGATTAGCTTACTAATACTTTTTGACATTGATCCCATTGTCCACATTATTTTGATATTATTTTTTATTTTCTGATTTTTGATTTAATTGTTTTAAACTTCAAAAATTCATAAAAATTTCATTTCATCTTCTAAAATTGTGAAAAAACTCTCAAAAATACTTTTGATTTTTATCTTTTTGATTTTTATTATTTCACAATTTTAATTTGTGATTTGGTATTTTTTTAATGATTTTTCACTTATTTTGACTTGTTTGAATTGTTTAAAAATAATTTTTCTTGATTTTTAAATTTTTAAAAAATATGAAAGGATCCAATGACGTCTTGACAAATATTGGTGACCTCATTTTATTTTATTCTTGATTTTACTATTTTTTTTTCACAAATTTTGATTTATTTTGCTTATTTCTTTAAATTTTAAAGGCTTTTGCAACTTTAGTTCCCCTATTTAATCTTTTTCTTGATTTTGATCCCCCATTTTAAAAATCACTATTTTAGTCTCTTTTTTTTCAATTTTTGTGTTTGAATTTAGTCCCCCATTTAATTTGGTGCTTATTTGCAATGACATGACACAATTTTAGTTGAGTTGGCATATAATATTTTATCCACGTCATTTTTTTAAATTTTTTAAATTTATAACTATTAGAATTTTATTGTATTATTTTATTGATTGTGTGATGATTAAAGCCAAAATTTTAGAAAATAGTCCCAACAAAATTTGAACCCAAGACCCATAATTTATAGTAGGAGGTGCCCAACAACTTAATATGTAGATGTTTCTTTGTTAAACGGTTGAAATAAATACATGAAAAAATGTTAGGCATAACTTAAAGAGAAACTATGAGAAACAAAAAAACTACAGAATTTCTAATCTCTTTATCTTTCTAACAATTTCCAAAACGTGAACTTCATACTCCCATAAGTGACGGTGTTGATGTACTCTCTGTGTCCTTGGGTGGAAATTTTCCATCAGAGTTTTTGGAAAGTGGTATTTCCATAGGTTCCTTCCATGCAATGGCCAACAACATCGTTGTTGTCGCTTCTGGAGGAAATTCAGGACCTCAACCCTCATCTGTAGCAAATTTGGAACCATGGACTTTCACAATTGCTGCTAGCACAATTGATAGAGGCTTCACTAGTTATTTCATTCTTGGTAACAAAAAGATATACAAGGGATCTAGTCTTTCAGAGTTGGATTTACCACCACATAAATTATATCCATTGATAAGTGTTGTAGATACCAAATTTGATAATGTGCCTCCTTCCTTTGCGTAAGAATTCTCGTTTCCATTTCTTCAAACTAACTTTTTCAAATACTGATATATATTCTAATCCATTTAATATGTGTAGCTCTACTTGCAAAGAAGGAACTCTTGATCCGAAAAAGATTAAAGGAAAAATATTGGTATGTCTTCGAGGGGATAGTGCTAGAATTGACAAGGGCGTGCAAGCTTCTCGTGTAGGTGCTATTGGAATGATATTAGCTAACGACAAGGATTCAGCAAATGGAGTTATAGCAGATCCTCATGTTCTTCCCGCGACAAATGTTGGCTTTGCAGATGGCAGTGCCATTTATAATTACATCAATCGCACAAAGTAATAGTTCTCATCATGCCTTTGATATTACACTTTGGATTTTCACAAAATAGAATTTTATATTTGATATATCTAATGTGTAGGTCTCCTGTGGCTTACATTACTAAAGTTAAATCACTCTAACCATTGATTCATTCTAGTGTGTAGGTTTCATCTATTACATATATTTGTTTCAAGTGTTTAAAAAAGAAACATCTGTACTTTAATTGTTTGGTGCCTCTTTCTAAAGTCAAGGGTATTGGGTTCAAATCTTAGTCAGACTATTTTTTAAAATTTTAATTTTAACCATAACACACAATCAATAAAATAATACAATAAAATTTTAATAATTATAAATTAAAAAAATAAAAAGTGGTTGCAAATAAGCACCAAATTGAATGGAGGACTAAATTCAAACACAAAAATTAGAAAAAGGACTAAAATAGTGATTTTTAAAGTGGGTGATCAAAATCAAGAGAAAGGTTAAATATGGGGATCAAAATTGCAATTAAGCCACTTTTAAAAATAGTATCTTGACTTTAAAAAATTCTAAAAAATTTTGTCAACACTTATTGACTCATGTTTGACTTCTCATATTTTTTTTAGGATTTGTATTTGGTGTTTCAATACATGTTGTGTATTTTGCCAATTATTTATTTTTTGAATCATTTAAATTTTATTTTATATTAAATATATTTTATTATTTTTTTGATTGGTCCAGATTTGGAAACACTTATTTGTTTTTTTTTTTTTGGATAAGTTCTTCAATCTCCATGGATCTTGAGTGTTGATGGGTTGAAAAATCAAATCTACCAAAATGGATGAATGATGTCGATAATATTTGAAACCCTAATTTCATCTAATACATCCCCTTCCTCTTCATCTTATCCCTTTCTTACTTGTGCTACATGTTATTGGAGAATGATCTACATATCATTTCTCTAATATGTGGTACATAAATTGCTATTGACCGGCCTCAAAATAGGTGTGACTTCTAAATAAGTTCACTTACGATTGCTTAACATAGCGCTAAATTTGTCCCGATTTGAAAAATGATCATTCGTGGCCGAAATCTATGTTTGCAAGCCCAAGTATGTTTAATTCGAAACATTTGATCCAATAACTTTGATTTTCATTGTTAGAAGGCTTTGATTCTATCAATTCTCTAATGAACTTCATGAATTTTGGTTAAGTGAATCATTCGAACATCGTTAATCATATGTGGTTGCTTCGAGCACTTGAAATGAATGATATACTTGACAAAAAGCAAATGAAACTTATTGTTGAGAAGCTTTGATTTTATCAATCTTCTAATAAGTTTTCAAATGCAAGCTTCAAGATGGTCATTCAACTAACCTTCTAACTTCTAATTCACTAACAATTAACTTAATTTTATGGCTTTATTTTGTGCCTTTATTTTTACGTACCATTTACTTTATCATTTACATTCCATGTCATTTTTTCTTTTGCTCACTTGAGAATTCTTTAAGTCATTTTATCTTCGCTCACTTGAGCTTTCTTTTATTTTAAAGACACTTAATAATCAACTTGAACATTAAAAGCCTTAAGGTTACTTGGATTATTTGGTTACTATCCTTGGTATTATAGAGTTGTGGATCTCTCGAACTTAGGATTAGAAGCCTTGATACTTGGGGACCTTGTTGCTCTTGGGTTAATTTTCTTTGTGTGTAGGTTATTCTGATTATAAAATTTTTCTGTGATTAAGAATTCCTCTGTATGCAGCCGTTACTCTGCCCAATTTTTGCAAAGACTTAATTCATCTAAAGCTTGGTATTCCTCATAGGTTTAGTATTTTCGTTTGCTTGGTTTTTAATCCAAAGGATGGGAATTCTATATTGACTTCTTATG